GAACATAGGATTCCTCATAATCCAATGAAATGGAGTCATTTGTCTAAGCCTCTACCAGAAAGGATACTGCTAAGGTGACAAGTCATGAAGGTAGGGCAGTTATCTTGAGAACTCTCGTCTGTGTGCATGTGTTCAGACAAAGAAGGAAATCAAATTTGGCGGTGAGTCCAGGCAAGAGGAGACAGGCTGGGTGTTTCAGTTCATTCTAATGAAAAGGCCCAGCACGCTCCATTTCCTAAACATTTGTAATGGAACCTTTCATACATATGAGAGCAGATCCTGATATATATATATATAAATAGCTTAAAGAAAAAGAGGAAGAAAATCGTACATCTACACTCCCACCCAACTTAACAGTAGTGCATTTACTGATGCTTTTGAAGTCCCTGTGAGTCCTCCATGGTCACATCCTGCCTTTTCCTGGATGGAACTAGTGACTCTGATTTTGGCTTCTCATTCCTTTTTCTTTTTTCTTTCTAGTTTTGCCACACATACTGATATATCCCTGAACACTATGTTATTTAGGTTTGAATGTTTTATAAACGAATCAAACTGACTTCATCTTTCTTTAATTTGGTCATGTAAATCAGCATCATGCCTGTGAGAATTTTAATTGTTGTATAGTATCCTATTGTGTGAATATACACAACTCTATTTATTAACCTATTTTCTTGTTAACAAACATTTGGGTGGTTTCCAGTGTTTGGCTGCTGTTAATAGTAGTGTTATGGACATGCTTGTTCTTTCTCCTGGTGCACATAAACAAGAACTACTTAAAGATACAGTTTTGGGAATGCGATTGCTGGGTCGTAGCATCTTCAACTTTACTAGGTAATACTTCATCAACTTTTTTTGGCTTAGTTAAAAAGGACTAGGGTTGCCAGCTGTAGCAATTGAAAATACAGGATTCTCAGTTACCTTTGAATTTTATATAAACAACAAAAACCTTTTTAGTGTTAAGTATGGCCCATGCAAAATTTATATTTCATCCGGCAACCCTACCAAGGTCAGTGAACTTTACCAAATCACAGTCATTGGCCAATGAAGTGTAAGTGTGAGGGGGTGGGGGAATATTTGGCCTTTTCTCCCTCACCTAGCGTGGCCAACTCAGTTGTTTACCAGCAGATTAGCCCAGGGGGCTCAGGTGCTTGCTAATCAGCTATATGGGTAATTGATCAGCTCAACAAATACGTATCAGCACCAGCTGAAAGCCAAGCAGGTGCTAGTTGTTGAGAGTATAACTGCTAATATGGCAGACAAGGTCCTTGCCCTCACTACGATTTTAGCCAGGGTGGGGAAATGGAAGATAATAAGGCAGTGATCTGTGTGCTGTGGGAGCAGTGGTGTGTTGGCAAAGAAGCCTTGATATGCAGATTTTGCTGACTTTGGAGTTGTAAATACTCTTACCATGGCCAGTTTCAAGCTACCAGTGTGGGGGCACTGAACTCAGAGTTGAGGGAGAGACTTGTACAATCTGCTCTTTGGGCTGTATGAACTGGCTCCAGCAGGCCACTGTCTGGGAAAGTACTTAGAAAGGAACTTTCATCCAATTTCTGGGCTCTTTTCTGATTGGTTTGGGGGAAGGGACTTAGAGATTAATTATTTCCTCAAATTTAGAAGGAATCAAATGCTAAGAGGTATTAGAAAGCATTTATTATATACATATAATATTGGATGCTTTGCAAAAAATTTTTTTACTCTTATATAAATAGAAGAGTCTCATAAACATAGTTGTAAATTTGACTAGCCTGTAGATCAGGGCTAAGATCTCCATTTTTGTATATGACCTTATATCAGAAGACCCTTGAAGACTTCTGCACTGCTCCATTCCTCATCATCCATTCCGCAAACATTGACAGAGCCCTGGGTTCTGTGTCAGGCATTGTGGAATGGACTTTAGTCTCTGTCTTCATGGCGCTCTCAATTCACAGAAAGAACTCTCTGCCCAGGTCTTTGCAGGCAGTCTCACTGCATTCTCCTCTTACTTAGTTCATCCCTGAGCTTCCCTCTGGCTGTAACCCCCTCCCAATGATCTTTTCTTGCTTTTATTGATATTTCTCCTTTCCCAGAGTGGCCGAACCTGGACTCTCCTGACTTTCCTATATCTTGTCCTATTGGGCAAGCTATCACTCTAACCATTCCATCTATCTCTATCAAATATTATTCAAATGCCTGTGTCCTTGTCAGTGTACAAGGCATGCAGGAGCCTCTACTATTTAAAAGTTTTTATAATAATTCCATAAAATTATGTCTTTGCACAATTTGTGTCCATATCCTTTTTATGCTTAAATTACTTAATACGTGATTCATTGTATAAAATTTGGAAAAGCAGAAAGAAATAATTATGCAATATTACAGCCCAAGGCTAGCTATACACTTTTGGGAGTGCATCCTTGAAGTCATTTGCTTCGCATACTTACAAACGAATTGGGATCATAACCCTGTTTTCACTTACAATATACAAGGAAATTTTGATCATCCTTTTAACTATTTTTCAAAGACATGATTTTAAGTGATGGCTTAACATTCTATTTTCAGGCTAAGCCACGGTTTATTTAGGTAGTTCCTTGTTGCTGGCAGTAGCCTCTCTGTAAGTCAGTCATGTTGACTATCTTTATCATAAGCTGCAAGAAAGTAGGAATCAGTCATTTAATTCTTTCCAAGGCAGCACTCAAAACAAAAACAAATTGAAAGTAATTGTATTATGTATTTGGATTTGTTGTGATCCTCTAGTTACCATTTAAAATAAAAGGAGTCAGTCTGCATAAAATGTAACTGGTGTTGGCGTACAGGTATCCTGAGGCTCTTGGGAGGATTGGGAGGAAGATAACCTGCTATCACATCTCTTTGGTTGGGTTTTGTTTACTACTTTCCAGAGGAGTTGAGCTCTGTATAAAATCTTGAAATTGGTAGGAGCTTTAGAGATCACCGAGCAACTCTAACCTCTTTTTCACAGATGAGGAAATTAAATCAAGGATTGTTACTTGCTGAGACTAGTATCCAGGTCTCTTGATTTCTTTTCTGTCCTTTTCACCACAATCAGCTGACTAAGCTTTTTCTTTTAAAATACTGAGAGCATACAGCTACCTATTACCTGTCTTACAGGAACTCTTGTTTTGCCTTAGGGTGTATGCACTTTGGTATAAAAATCTAATGTAAGGTTCTAGATATGTATCCAAGAGAAAGGAAGGCATACGTCCACACAAAGACTTGTACATAGATGTTCATACTAGCATTATTCATAATAGTAAACGAGTGGAAACAATCCAAATTTCATCAACAGGTGAATGAATAAACAGAGTGTGGTATATTCACACAATGGAATACTCTTAAAGAAAAAAATGAACTATTGATAAATCCAACAATGTAGATCAATCTCAAAGTAATTATGTTGAGTAAAAGAAGTCAGACAAAAGAGTTCAAATTGTACAATTCCTTTTATCTAAAGTTCTGGGAAATGCAGACTGACAGAAAGCAGCTCTGTGGTTACTTGGGGATGGGGGTGTAGGGAAAGAGGAACCAGAAAGGGGTAGAGGAAATTTTGGAGGCAGATGGATATACTATCTTGATTATAGAAATGGTTTCAGGGTTCTATGCATATGAAAACATCAAATTGCATACTTTAAATATGTGCAGTTTATTGTATGTTAATCATACCTCACTGTAGTTGTTTAATTTGTGAGATTACCTCTTAAATTTGAAAAGCAGAACATAACTAAAAACTCACTTAAGAATCTGAAGCCCAAGAAAAGTAAAGTTACTTCTGGAGATAACTGACAAGCAAGGTTCTATTTTAATATGATAGTTTATCTGAACAAAACATTACTATCACATGCGCAGAGTCATAAAAATAAAAAATAGAAGTGACATTTTTGTTCCCTTGGTAATGCCATTTCCTCGTGCCTGTACAGTTACTCTATATCATAATCTTTTTAAGTGTTCTATTCAATTTGGTTTTTTAAAGAGAGCAATAACTTCGTTGTATTTTTCCTGAACTATTAGAAAGCTCTTTTATGTACAAGATGCCCAATTCCTGATGTGTCTGTCCCTGTGTGGGTGTGTAGAAAGTTACATTGTAACTATAAATTTTAACAGATGCTGTAGTTGGCTTCAAGATTTTGTAGTCACGACTCAGCCGTGGCAGTCACTGGAACTTTCTAGAAACCATACCCTCTTCATACCCTAAAAATGTGAAGTCGGTGATCAAATTTTTCTATTCAGACTTTCCACCTACTGTTTTAAAACAAAGAACTGCTAGACCACACATACAGTGCACACACCAGTAAAGGTTGTCTTTTTTGTTGGAAAACATTTGTGAAGTTTTATTTCCACCCCCCAACTTATTTTGTTAGCTCTTTTATTCGATAACCACTCCCGTTCAGTAGACAGGGAGGCGCACACCGGTTGTTGTTTTTTTTTTTTACACAGTACAGAGAGGGGGGGGAAAAAAAAACTCTCAACTTCGCAGTTCCATTTTGAGAAATGATCATATCGAACTCCTGAGAAACGACAGCCCAGAGAGAGCAGAAGCATTTCTCCCCAAGCTGGGTGTGGGTCTGAAGGCAGGCGCGCTTCCGCAGGAGAGAGGGGGTGTCAGGTGGCAGCGGAGCGGGCGCGGGAGCCGGTGCAGCGCGGCGGGGGCGCGTGCGGGGCGCGCACCGGGCGACGCCGGGGGCCGACGCACTGCAGAGGTGCCGGCAGGTTCCGCCCGCGGAAGTCTTCTCGGCTGGCGCAGCCCGCGCTCCGCCCGCGCACCGACCCCGGCCCCAGCGGGCGCCCCCTCGACGCCTCCGCCGCGGCGCTCCTTCCCTCCGCCTCTTCCCCGGCGCGCCCGCCGGCTCCCTCACTTCTCCCGCTTTTCCTCCTCCCCGTCCCTTCTCCTCCCCTCACCTCTACCCTCCCCACCTCCCCCCTTCTTGGTTTCCTCCCCCATCCCCTTGACTCTCCCCTCCCTGCCCTCTCTCTCCTGCTCGCCCTCAGCGCGGCCCCCGCCATGACGGAGGCGGGTGCCGGTGCCGTTGCCGCCGCTGCCGTCGCAGGGGGGGAGTCGGGTTCCCAGAAAGTAGCTTGATGAGTGTCCAAAGTAGCAGTGGAAGTTTGGAGGGGCCGCCATCTTGGTCCCAGCTCTCCACGTCTCCAACCCCGGGCTCGGCGGCGGCGGCCAGGTCCCTGCTGAATCACACGCCGCCATCCGGGAGGCCCAGGGAAGGTAAGTGCCGTCGCGCCCGCGCCCGCTCGCGGGCCTCCCTTCCCCGCGCCGCGGCCCGCGCGTCCCCGGGTCTCCTTCCCCCAACCCCGGGGTGGGGGAGGGGGACGAGGTGGACGCGAGGCCGCCCGGCCCTGGGGAGGTAGTGCTCCAGCTGTGGGTGGTGGTTCGCGGGTGGCGGAGAAGACGAACGAAGGGGTGCGCGCTGAGAGGACGGGGCGAGGCGCGGCGCGGCGCACAGACTCGCTTGGGGTTCCTAAGAGCCAGTCCTGCTAGGGTGGGAAGCCTGACCCCGGACGCGAGCCCCTTTCTGCTCCATTTGCTAGTACACTCAGTACTCTTAACCTCCCGGCCTCCGGTCTCTGGTGGGCTTTCCCTCTCCGTGAAGCATTCATCCTCGAGCCCCCTCCCCTTCCCTCGCGCACTCCTCCCCTAGAGGCGGTCCCCGCTCTGCGAGCTTTGCTGCCCGGGACCTGGAAGATGCCCCTCACTGGCAAGATCTCTACCTTTTGGGGAGGGCCGCTGAAATTATCAAAGCCGACTTTGATCCCGGGCCTGCCCCCCCCACCCCCCAGCCCCGAGCAGTTTAAACGAGGGACCGATTCGTGGGCAGGCTTTTAAAACCACCCAGATGGTTGCAACTTTCCTTCGCCATCACCTCCTGCATATTTGTGTGTTACCTCTCTGTTGCAAGTAGGCTACTATTCTTTTCCGACAGGGTCGTGGGTTTTGTGGGAAATCGCTGTGTAAAGGTTACTGCAAACACTCACCAGATCGGTTACAATTGTTTTCTAAGTTTTCTGGCTTCCTGCATGCAAGTGTGCTGCCACCAGATGTAGCAGTTACACAGCTAGTAAGACACCGGAGTGCTTTTGACTAACATTTTAACTTGGTGTATTTAACTTTAAGTATACGACGTAAAATTAAATTTAGGAGAACACATATTTATGGGGGAAGAATAAATGTGTGTAGAATCGCGTTTAACGTTCTTTTGTCTGGAAAACGTTTAGCGGTATTCACGAGCATTTGGTAAATGGGTTGTTCACGGCCAGTTGTGTCACACACGAAGATTGTAGCCACATTTTCGAAAAAACGTCGGGAAGTCCAGTAGTCTAGTGAATCCTTTAAAGATACCAAGAGCTTTGATTTATGTAGGAGTCGGTGGGATTAATTTATTTTGAAAATATCTATCAGTATTTACGACTCAGAGCCTTGACATTTGTTAGTCAAGTGGTTTGTGCCCTGAATCCAGTGGTTCAGGCATAGCGTTCTTTGTCATTTTGTTCCTGTGAGCATGTGTGAAAGTGACAATAGGCTCAAAGATTGGCATGAATTTGCTCTGGAAAATTCATGGGAAGATTTGATTTATGGCATCCATTAAGCGTTCTGAATACATTGACAGACATTTCCTCTTTCCATCTCACCCCCAACCCTGACTTCTGATTATTAGAGGATAAAAGTTTATTTATTGAGTAACTCAAATTTAGTACACCTGGTGATTTTTCTTTCTGCACTTGAAAATTTGTAAATGAGTGTCTTAAAATCTATTTTGTGAACAGCAGTTGGTGCTTTTACTTTTGTCTGTACTTTCATTAAGATGCTAAATGGTAGTGTTAGGAATGATAGTATAATGAGTGATAGTAAATGATGTCTTGGGAAAGACTTTTTTTTTTTAAGGCTATACCTTTTTTATTTATTATTCATTTCTTAAATATTTATTGAGACATTTTTTGTGAGCCAAGCACTGTATTTGTTACTGAGGAAGTAGTGTTGAATTGTTCATCTGTTAACATCTGTAATCAGTGTTAGTAATTTTGAGTCTGTAGAATATAGATTGTGAACTTCAGAGGTTACTTCAACTCATTAAAAAATCTTTATACTATTCTGCACTTTTCCTGATGTTTTAAAATTTTGAAAGATTGGAATAATTTAGCTTGAACTTCCAAATAAGGTGGATTTTTTCCAGCAGTTTGGATTTTTATGTAACCTAAATAGTCTCAATTTATGAAATAACAAGAGACACGCTGTTTTTTAAGTTATTCTTCACACCCAAGTACCTGTATGGTGACAGTGGTATATTGCTTTTTTTTGACCAACCAAGAAATAAGTTAAAACTTTTAATGTTCTGTAGGATTATGTATTCATATTGAAGCTATTGTTTCAGATTTCACTAATGCGAACACTAATTGCATACATAAAGCCCTAGGAATCAAGGTGTTACTATTGTCTATTGAGTGGGATCCCAGTTTTTATTTTAACAAGTGCTTGGCATCTTTTCCAGGTAACATATTAGTATGTTGTATAAATTGAGAGCTTTTTCTAAAAAAAAAAAATTATTTTTGGCTCTGCGGTGTCTTTGTTGCTGTGCAGGCTTTTTTCTGGTTTCAGTGATCTGGTGCTACTCTTGGTTGGGGTCCACAGGCTTCTCACTAATGTGGCTTCTCTTGTTATAGAGCATGGGGTCAGTAGTCCTGGTGCTTGGGTTTAGCTGCTCAGCAGGATGTGGCATCTTCCTGCACCAGGGATTGAACCCATGGCCCCTGCATTGGCAGGAGGATTCCTTACCACTGAGCCACCAGGGAAATCCAAATTTGATAGCTTTGATTGCTGGTGACTGATAGCTAGTAAAAAACATTACTATTAATGGAACTTGACTGTATGTATCAAGGAGAGAACAAACTTTGTTTCTTGAAAAATTGAGCCAATTTAATGTAATATAGAATAGAAAATTTTAAACTTAAAAGAGATACACATGTATATGTACATATATATAAAGTTATATATGTGATGAACTCCTTTTAAGCGTACTTAATTTTGAAAATGGGCTATTTTTAAAGGTACACCACAAGTATCTTATCCATAAGCCTAAATCATAAGATTTAGGAATTTATTGGAATTCAAGAATTTGTATGGTAGAGTGTAGAGTATTAATTGGAGAAGGAAATGGCAACCCACTCCAGTATTCTTGCCTGGAGAATTCTATGGACCAAAGAGCCTGGTGGGCTACAGTCCATGGGGTCACGAAGAGTCAGACACAACTGAATGACTAACACACACAATTAGTAATTTCTTTCCTTGGAGTTCCAAAGCTTTTCCTTTATCAGTCTTAAAATTCTCTGAGAGGTGCTCAGCAGTGTAGCTCTAGGTTTCACAGTGGATCTTTTAAAACTGTGGCTAAATTCTCTATCCCATTTTATCTTCTAATAATTCTGTGAATAAGGATGTGAGAAGTTAAGAAATTTTCAAATAAGGTCAGTTTTGTTTGCTGAGGCCTAGGTATGTGTTGGCTAGATGAATAGATTTTTTTTTTTCCTTTCATAAAGGTACATAAGTACTTTTGAATGGGTTACTGCTGTGAGTCAAATAAATGGTTATACAAAAGACTTGTCTTTTTTTTTTCCCCCATTTTTCCAGATATAAATAATTTGCTTTTTACTTCTATATAAATAGCAAAAGTAGTTTGGTCAGAAAGATTATATCATAGTCATAAACTTGCTGTCTGTTTCTCTATTTACAGACTGCATCTTTAGACAGAAGAGTTAAAAGTATTTGATTCCAGATGATTGCATAATACCTGTAGGAAGATGTTAAAAGTTATGTATCAGATGATGCTTTTATTTTTTGAAGTCACCTGCTGCAGCAAGACCGAGTTGTATGTTTCAGGATTCTAGCTCATGAATGCATAGATATGTGGTAGGCACCTCCCTTACAGAGGCATTTTTATGTATTAGAGGAGAAAGGGAAATTCAAGATAGAAGTCTAGGAATCTGCTGAGAAATAGGTTATGTTTTAGCCTTCTTGGTCTTAGGACCCCCTTTACTCCCTTAAAAATTATTCAGGTCTCTAAAGAGATTTTGTTTATGTGGGTTATGTCTTGGTATTTACTATATTTGTGATGAAATAACTTCAGAAACATTTATCTAAAAATAACAATTTGATTACATGTTAATGAATTTTAAAATGATAAATAAATATTTTAAAACAAACTTTAGTGAGGCTAGTGAAATTATTTTATATTTTTACAAACCATTTTAATTTCTGGCATACTAGAAGGTAGCTGGATTTTCTTCTTTCTGTCTGTTGAGATATATTTTGATTGAGGCATGTGTTGAGAACCCAATTTCACACAGATATGTAGTTAGATAAGAACTATTTTACTAGCCTTTTGGGAAGTTACTCTTTGATATTACACCAAAATTCAACAGTTGGCTGTTGTTTTTAAAGGTTACTTGCAATGTGGAAGTACATTTTATCCCAGACGTGTCTTCAGGACACACAAGAAATCTGTGGACCATACATTTAGACTCAGCAAGAGACTAGTTGAAGGGTGGGGAAGAGTATAGCTGTTTTCAGGTATTTAAAAAACAAATAGAAGAGAATGTATTTATTATACTGTTATAGAAGATAAACTAGCAGGTGAAAGTTGCGAAGGCTTAGAATGAATTGTATATTTTTTTGACAAGAATGTAAGAACTGTGTAACAACTAGATTTGACTAGCAATGGAAAGACCTGTCTCTTGAAATATTTAGCTATGAGAATTTAAAGCAAACTACACTGCTGGTGCGGAAGGCGTAAGAGATGTGGGTTCGATCCCTGAAGATCCCCTGGAGAAGGAAATGGCAACCTACTCCAGTATTCTTGCCTGGAGAATCCCATGAACAGAGGATCCTGGCGGGCTACAGTGTATAGGATTACAAAGAGCAGGGCATGACTGAGCACGTGCATGTACATGGACTTTTGGGGTGGGGTGGATATAAATCCAGTAGATTCTTATTTTGTGTGCTATTGGATTAAGTGACTTAAGGTCCCATCCAATTAAAAAATGCAAACATTCTGTGATTCTTTGAAAATTTGTAAATGTAGTTAAACTACTTATATATCCGTGAATGTTTTTGAAAATCCTCAATGAAAATCCTCATTTCAGTAGTATGAGACTACTGTTGACTTTATTGCTGTTTTGCATTTTTATTGTGCTTTTCTTCTGCAGATTTTCCTGTATTTT